GGGTAGTCACGTTAGTATAGTCGACATAAAAATCTATGAGTCACATTTCTATGTATCGATACAAAGAATTTTGCTTGCAGTAAAAATTTCATACTTGTGTACGGGTAGGGAATTAACGCCCTCGACTGTATTTAAGCAAGTGTGAGTCACGGCAGGTGAGATGCTACAAGGGCAAGGGTACATTAGTCCTTTGAAGGGAGCAAGGTTGAAAGACTGAGAGGCTTCACCTTGCGGAGGGCACGCGCAATCGATACCTCCTTGACACTTAGCCAATTTCATAACGCGTAAGATATTTAGATTAAATCTAGACTAACACATCGGCTAGATTTTTACAGTTAAACTGTTCTAGAGATATTTGATTACTTGACACGATAATTCTACTAATATTATCAATGCGAAAGTTTACATGGATGAAAATTTGATGTTGAACATATTCTGAAACACATAGACTACTTATTAAGATTTTTTTTAATTTCACGCAGACGGAGTCGCTGACGACAGCTAGTGTGTAAATATAATTAATAAATAAGTACCTAATAGAACAAACGCGTAAATAGTCTGAACGACCTTGATACAAGAGTTATGCAGTCATGCAATTTTGTTTTGCATATTTCCAGTACAGTACAATTTCACACATTTTTCACAGAGACATTATGTAAATATAAGTTAGTCACACGATCGTTATTAATTTAATTCATACTTATCCTTATAATATTCACTATTTTGAATGACATGAAGAGTGAACAGTATTGTTAGGTCTACTGTCAAGACCCTTTTTATCAAAAACGCGTGAAGGCATCAAGCTGGAATTCATTTGGTTAAATCGTAGTTTAACTTTTGTTCAACGACTCAAATTTTAATTAAACTTATTTAAGAATTGTACTATAATTCGTCTCTCTCACAAAGTTCCTCTCCATTTAATGGAAGTTGGTCGTCAGTGTTGTGCTACGCAAAATAAATGTTCCACGCTGGTAATTCATCCATTCCTTGATATTTGGTATAATGGTTATAAACACAAATAACAGGAAGAATAAATAGTCGTGTATTAACTAAAGCTTACCAGGAAAATGGGGAATTAGATAAACACGCTACATACCAATTGAAATATAACAACCATATTATTTGTAACACAGTAACTTATTTGATTTGTCAAGTGTATGACATTTAATACAAAAACTTAGCATTGCGTCATTTATGTGAATCATTGTATTATTGAATACATCGCCCTACCGTTTAAATTTAGAATTTTATATCTTATACAGAGCGTCGGTGGCTCAGGGGTTAAGCACTTGACTTGCAATCTGCAGGTCCTGGGTTCGAATCCCGCCATGTACCAATGAGTTTTTCCATTTCCGATTTACATATGTACATTTATCCCACGTTCTTACGATGAAGGAAAACATCGTGATGCAGCCTGCACATATCTTAGATGAAATTCAAAGATATGTGTGAAGTCAACCAACCCGCACTTGGCCGCGTGGTTGACTATGGCCTAATCACCCTTAACTTAGGGTAGGCTCCGAGCCCCTTGGTGGGGACATATAGTGAGCTGATGCTGCTGCATGATGCTAATATCTTATACAATAATTAAACAAATATTTTCTTTCCATCAACTAATCCAATAACTTGGCGGACAGGGAATACCACAAATACAGACAAAAGTGCAAAAAGCCGAACTTTTGCCTGTATGGTTTACTGGCCACATTGCTAATTGTAGTTGCAAGATTCCTTTCTCTGTCATTTTTAGCCGACATAAAAAAAAGTTATCAATTAGTCCGTTTAGTTTCCTGTAAAGCCTATTTACCGCGTGACAACAAAACGAACCGAAACCGAAGCGAAGTGAAGTTTTTCAGACAGGCTCATTACGCGAAACCGAATATAACATAGAGCAACTGCGTTCCATTTACACTATGTTTTCTTGTTGATAGTATGAGAGTGAATTATTTGTAGAGAGGCAGACCTTGAGATAAGTAAAGGCTTTGCAGCGGATCGCTCTGCCTATCTGCCAGCGATTTATCACCCCGATGACGTCATACTGGGAACAATACTCCGCGCATTCCTCTTGCTACAAACTCAAATACGTCTTCAAAAATATTACTAATATAATAAATGCAAATGTTTGGATGGATGGATGTTTCACCACAACGGCAGCATGGATCTCGCTGAAACATATATAGGATACTAATTAGGTTTTTTAATTCCGCTCAGACTAGCTAGTTACAAAATTACTCTCGGTAAAGGAGTTCTTTACTCTTATCTTACAATTCTAACCATCTCTCTCATTATCTTTGTAAAGAAAGAGAACACTATATTTTAATACGTTTCACATTGATATTAAGTTAAAGAAAACATAGTAAACGTGTCTGAGTTTCAAGGACGTCTAGTCTGGACTAACATAATTCCTCTAGTCGATAAACGTGGGAGGAATGCTGGATACAAATTTAACTTAAAAGACCCCCATATTCATCCATACATACATACTACAGTATTTAATACAGACGCCAAATCTTCATTGATTAACGTACATTTTAATTTATAACCCTACTATTTTTAATATCACAGTGCAAGTTTTAAAAGTGAAAACAAAATGTTACGCGACGAAATTAAATTGCACAAAGGAAAGTTTTAAAGTCGGTTATACAATTGAAATGAATAATAATAATACATACGTAAAATTATAAAAATATATAAAGATGAGACACAATTGTATTTTAGATAATATCTTAATATGTTAAATAAACATGATTGAGAAAATATTAAAATAAATATCATATTAAATTAAAATGAAAAAGTTACCAGACAGTTTCTATTTATCATATTAATTGTCATTGTTTTGATTGACCTACGCGAAATATCTAATTCCGTACAGACGAAGTCAGGGACAAGAGTTAGTATATTATATATGGCAATATTGGCATATAACATGTTCCAGCTATAGTGGGAACACATGAAGTCATATAATATTAATCTTATTTGTGGTACGTAGCAATCACATTTCAATGGCGGATCTCACCAAATGAACGCCTGTTTGTATGTTTATACAAGCTGACGCCCGCGATTCCGTCCGCTTGGATCTAAAAACTTATATATCAGGCTACGTGTCCTTTTAGGCTATGTTCTATATCTATGCTAAATTTCAGTGAGATCCATACAGCCGTTCTCGAGATGCCTTTAAGCAAAGATCTATCCATCCATCCAAATTTGCAAGTGTTTGGAATGAGAAAGTTACTTAATAATTATAAATTTACTTAATATTTACACCATAGATCATAAAGAAAATCATAAGAAAAATATTTGGGGAAATGCTCTCTTTATTAGGTATTTCGTACGTAGAAAAGTCATAAACGGAACATACGACAATCTATTGGTAGGTTAGCCGCAGTACTATTCAAGCATCAACTTTTACTGTTGGCAACACTGTTGAAAAACTACTGCACAATTTTTAATTTTTCAAAAAATGGGTTTTAATGACGCGCAATACCTTTCGAATGATAAAATAATTGTAAAAATCGAACAACCAGGAGCGGAGTTACGTAAAAAAAACATACAGACGAATTGAGAACCTCCTCCTATTTGAAGTCGGTTAAAAAGATTGCAGACAACTGGTGTAATGACCTGTGCGTCGGGCGATGTCAAGGTCAATATTGAATGACGTCATGAATTTTCCCATACGCACCCATACATACCGAAACAAATATAAAGCAGTCATCTCTCTCATCTTTTTTGAAAAGGAAGATATAGGTAGGAGATATGTTCTTTCACTCCTTTGACTCCAAATAACTCCTAGAACCCTAAACATTACATCGATAAACACTAATAATGTTAACTAGGTATTAACAAACTACTACATAAGTGAGAATTATCTTATCTAATCCCTAAAAGGTTGTATGTCTTTTTAACGACAACTTAATTAGAAAATCGTTTAGGCATCTTGTGACTACATACGTCCCTCTCATTCAGCTTCAAAAAACTGAAATAACAATATTTTTGTAAACGTATATGATTAAAATTGTAACAATAAATATGCCATATTGTTCTAATAACCGTAATTAAACATGTTTTTTCAGCAGGATTCACTTATATCAAGAATGTCGGTCAAGTGGAGGCACAAAACGAGTTTGAACAAGGCGCCATAGTTGCGAGAATTTAATTTTAATAAAAACATAAAACTAACTGCAGTGAGGAGGAGGAGAATAGATTGTTTCGGATACACTGCTGAAATAATTTTTACACCCTGGGGCTTGTTGCAAATTAAGATTAAGAATTTATAGAAATATAGGCACTTGGTCAAGTCGAATTTACTCATTGGATAATACACAAGGAATATGTACAATCTCACACGTAGAATTTAAATTTATATATTTCGATTTTAGGAAGATTTCGTACAATTTTAGTAATTACATATCAAAAATCAAAGTTGCGGTGTGAAATAAACATTGATTAAAAATTAAATCTTCTATCGTTATCACAACCAAAATAATATTAGTGTAAATAAATCCAACTTAATGTACTGCTGTGCAATCACGTATAAAAATATCCATAAGGCGTACACTACACCTTGAATAACAAGTTTTTAACGATTACTAAATAATATTGTATGTCAATAAAATTTATTGTAAAACTACCTACTTAACCCTACTTTTAATTTGTGTTGCGGCACAAATTAATTGAAATAATTTACTTGAATCATAATAAAATAATAAATGTCGTTTTTATAAATAGGTAACTGTTATATGAAATTAAGCAAATATAGATTTCTTATTCGAGACCGGATTCAAAAGACGCATTTATAATAAGTTAAGCAAACAATGATGCACTAAAAATCAAAAACTTAAAAATAAAAAACAAAAGCATCAAAGCAAACCTGTTTGTAAAAATTTCACGATTTCGCGCGGCCGGCAATGCAACTTTTTTATTCTTCATTCAACACGAAAGAGCACTATAATCTTATTCTAGACTAATTAAGAATTACAGTAATTACAAAAATTTACGCCACTCACCTGTACGCAATTCAATGACACAAATTTACTAATCTCTGTTTAAATTCACAGCAATTTGAACACACGATTCGCTAGCGCACTCGTGACCTAGCGGGCATTAGCACTCGCAGTGCAGCCAACAGCCAACCAATGAACCGATCTTGGATTGGAGATTGGATTACCAATGTTGGTGGCGGTGGCCGATGCCTTCCAGCGCCTAAAAATATGTGTCGGTGTAGTTGATTGTTGGTAGAATGTTGGTATGCTGTAAAGTGTTGCAGTGCAACTTTTACCTTTTTCAACTTTTTCCTCAAACATAATTTTTTCCCCAAGAGTTCTAAAAATCTTTTATTTAATTTGTAACTTGTGTAACTATAATAAAAAAACTGAACACTTTAATAAAAAATATAAAAGTTTTCGATCTATTAAGTTTAGCTTCACAATAAGGTAAGCCGTTTAAAATCATTGATTAAAGTGATTTTTCCAATCCCACATATTTCGACGACAAGGATCTTTGGCTGTCGGAAAATATGTGAACTACTAATATCATCGTAACATCATCATATTTTAACAAACGCGGGAGTGGTAGCAGAAAGGTTTAATGTTTCCGTTCTCAATTTTTAAATTCCGCAAAAATATTATAACATGCATGGTTTTACAACATTTAGGTTAATTTGCTGATGTATTAGGTTGTATCAATTTAAATAGTAAGGAGCCATTACGAGAACTCAGGTCGTAAAATACAAATTAATTAATTGTTTGGAGCTGCAACACGGGCGACTTTCGGAAGAAGTTAGGAAATTATTACTTCATGGTAACCCTTTAAATTGTCAGCGCACCCATGTCAATGTCAAAAATCTGTCATAAGATCCTTGCCTGGTGGCGCTTGTGGCACTACTGTTTACAGTTCGACATAATAATCTTTGGTTTTTATATGGCATCCCTGTAGATGGTACGCTCATTGCATTTAAAATTCAGCCGTTTTATTTTTTAACCGTTGCTCTTGGCTGATTAATTTAACTGCAATTGTGCTGAATTTGTACGCAATAAAATATTGGATAAGAAAGAAAACGTTATTCGATGGATTGATATTTTATGTGCATAGTGTACAGCGATATTATCTTGATATTTATTGTGAATATTATTTACCGTAAGTATAGCTACTGATATTTTACTTTAAATTTGAATACTTCCTCAAATATATTTCATTGTGCACTAGCGTTGGAATAAAACACTGATTTTGTTTAGCATGATGACATATATTGCACTTATTTTTATATAACTCTGATTAGATTTCTAATAACATTTGTTTATAATACGATTTTATTCTGCTTTTAACTTCAACACTTCATGCGTAGTACAATGAGTACACAATCTCATTTAAATTAACAAGCCAATTGTAAATCTGCTTAACAAAAAACTTCCCAACGCTGCCACCAAGATTTTAAGATCAACCTAGCAACAACCTTAGCCAGATTGCCTGTCCTTTACCATCCCGTGACTTTTGGCGCCAAACTGCATCACCAAACAATGTTTTGTTCGTTGCAATTTATTTAATTTTCTACGGAATTTAAGATATAATCTCATCAGTTTATAGTACTTTTCTAGTGATATTCTGTGGATAACATTGCAATAAATAAATAATGTTTAAGTTGTAATTCTGTAATTTTAGATATTTTCAAAATCTTAACTAATTTAAATTTCAGTGGCTTTAACATTTTTAACTTTGTTGAATGCATCTTGCTATTTCAACTGACCGTTCTCATGTGGGACAATGTTTCATACAGTTTTTATTGAAATGTTACAGGAAGACATGTCTTCGGTTAATGAAAGACTTGCCAAATTGAGGGAGGAGAGAAAAGCAAGAGAGGAGGAGAGAATAAGGAAGGTAAGTATCTTTTTATTGGTGGAACACTGGTGGCACACATGGTACATACTATGTACTTGTAACACCATATTAATTGACCTGTGACCTGATATAATGGTTCATATCTCCAACATGCTACAATAAGTGTTTTTGTTGGTAGTTAACTTTAGTTTGGAATTTAATAATTTTTCTTTTTAATTTAATTTCAGCTAAGGGAGCTTAATTTGAAGAAATATAACAATTTTGACTTGAATTCAGATTCGGAGACTAAAAATGGTGTGTCTAATTCAGTTAAGAATAAACCCCGTGTTTTATCTGCAGCTAGAGGATCTGTTTCAAGTCTGGCAAGTAAACCTTCCACTAGTAAATATGTGACTTTACATAGACAAGAAGCATTGAATATAACACGACAAAAAAGTACTGAAATTAAACCAAAAAACAGCACAAGCAGTGGAAACCATTTTGAAACTAAACAAAAGGCTAAATCTAATAATGTACATGTTAAAAACTTAAATGCAAGACTTTCTACGGTTCCAAAACCTATAAAAAAACCTCCAGTGTCCAATAATGGTCAATCAACCACTGCTGCTCTTAATCAGAATAATAACACAGTTGATTCAAAGGATAATGCACTTAATAACTGTACTGAAAGTGATCAACCATTAAATAAAGCAAATGATGTAAAACAGGAGCCAGTGGAAAATATTTCTGATAACTTGCCCCATACAAGTAATAGTACGGAACAAAATGCTAACACAAAAACAATTACTATGAATACCAAAGCCACTGTTACCAACCACCGTGAAACTCTGGCGCCAATTTCTACGAAGCCCAGGGTTGCGTTAAAATTATTTACAACTACCAAAACTGATAGCCGGAAAAGCCTACCTGCTTTTAAAACTAAAGACATAAAAAAATTCTCTCCGAGACGGGAAAGTGTGTTTGAACGATTATATAAACCCAAAACAGTTACTAAACGTGTTGTTGATGATGCACAAAGATTGAGGACAGATCCTAGCTATTTGAAAAAAGTAATTGAAGATTCACAACTGACTACAGGTGTGAAGCGCCCAATTCCACAAACTAAACCGGTCAGAAGGTCGATATCGGCTGTGCATTTAAGGAGAATTAGTAAAAGTGAGCAAGCAAAATGTATCCAAAACTGGGCATCTGTTGGGGAGAAGCTCGATAAAGTAAATGTTAATGAAATAGATGAAGATGATTGCATTAGTTATGAGAAAGTTGTGTCTGCTGTTAAAAGTGAAAGGAAGAAAGTGAAATTTATGACCCCTGTTACAATGAAGTACAACACTCCTAGTACAGAAGAATTGCAGTCAAGATTGCAGAAGTGGTTACAGAAACGTGGCAAATCTATGGACTCCTATCATCATCTGCAATGCTTTGGTATACGTCACTTATCTAAGAAACCATTAGAATTGCCAAGTTTGCCATTATTTGATGATGAGGATGAAAACAAAGAAAATGTTGCCGCAGAGACAGACAGTGACAATCAATCTTATACTGATAATTTGAATCACCATGATACTGACTTCCCTAAAGGCAAAGAGGATTTCGGCAAGGACCAGTGGCGTAGTGCGAGTTTTGTCAGTGAAAGCGTCAGTATGAATGAGATAAATGATACAACGTTGACACCTTCTGTGGACTTTAATCATCTGGACGTGTTGCTGCACGGCGCTCTTACTGACCTTACTGAGTTGCTACGAGAGGTAAACTTTCTCACTATTTTATAAGCAACTTTTGTATTCGCTATTTAATTTTATTCTACCTAACCATGAAAAAGACACTTAAAAATTAAGTATGACCATAAATTAAAACTGACATGCTAATAAATTTGTATTTTTTATTTTCCTTGGTGTATCAGGAAATTATAATTATGAGCGTATGTGTTGTGATGCAGGGTTTCGAGTGGGGCCAGTGTGCGTGCTGGCTGCGCTCCATCCGCGGGCGGTTCCCCGCGGTGACGCAGACGGCGGCCTACTGGGAGTGCCGCGCCGCGCTGGAGGAGCGCCGCGGCGACCTGCCCGCATCCATGCAGTGCTGGGAGGAGGCTATCGTTATGGGCACCGAGGTATGTTGTTACATTATCAATTTCAAAATGGCACAGGAGTGGTTAATTACTTTGTAAGAATAAAAGATTTCAATTCAGTCAGCCTGTTTCAATTTTATCTAATGTATTCAAAAAAATCATAACATTAAATACTATACTTATCATGAATTTCCACTGCCTAAATACATACTATGCACTGTAAAACGTGTTTGCAAAATTTACTTGTTTAAACTGAAAAATAACAATGTATTGTTGTATGAGGGTTTGGGCAGTAGAAACGTAGGATAATGTGACAGAAACATCTACTATAATTGTGCAACCTTTACATATCTACAGAGATCCGTAGTGGAGGAGAACTTGGACCAACTGCTAGATAAGTTTATGCAACTGAAGATCAGCCCCAGCAATCGCCACGAGCCCAAGGTGGACCCCAAGATGGTGGACGTAAAAAATGTCTTGAAGAGTACCATCATTAGATTCGCGGTGCACAAAGCGAAGATGTAAGTTAACCCATTTATACGTTCCTTATTACTGTAATTTTATACGCCGACAATAATTTAAATGTAATTTATCATATAATTTGTTATTTTTACATTGTTTTCAGTCGTAATTCATCAAATCCTGAGCCGGCCAAGTACATGGTGACTCCGGTGCGTCGCAGCGCGCGGCTAAGCATGCACTACGGCAGCGCGAGGCGCACGCCGCTGCAGGAGTGCACCACAATCAGTCAGGCTTCGAACCTGGGACATCCTGTGGTCTTCGTGCCCAACGACCAACTCAATGGAACACCATAAACAACACGTAACAGTGTCAGCGACGGCTCTAGCTTAGGTAGAGCGATATTTTCTTTTAGTGCCTTTTTCCTACACTATAAGTCACATAATCTTTAAAAAAATGACACTTAATTTGTCATTTTCATTAATTGTAGGGCTGTATTCTTTAAGATCTGATAAAATTTAATTTTACTTGGCATTTTAACACCTTTTTTCTATGGTGCTTTTGCTGTACCCTAGAGCCGCCGCTGTATACTTTGGCACAAATTGAAACATCCTGTAGTATCCAAAAAAGCTTAGTGTTAGTCTTTCTCTTGATTATTTTCTTTTCTTTTGATTATTTTCTATTTAATTTGTATTCTATAAATTGCATATTTCATTTTAATATATTCGTGTTTATTTTTGTATGTGCAAAGAATGAAAAATTATGTGAATGTTCTATATAAGACAATGTTTGCTAGATGCGAACAATTGCTAGTTATTCTTTTGTAAATAGTTTTTAATGTTTATGCGTTGCTGTATTTTATATTATAACCAATTATTGTAATGATAATAAATATGATTTACGATAAAATACATTTGATTTAACTGATTTTGCTTAATGCATTTCAACATCTTTAATGTTGAAAAGTGGGTTTAAACCTATGACCAGGAATTACGAAAATCCCATTCTTAACTCACTGGGACTATTTGAAAGTTCTTTTTACCGAATATCTCAAACATTGTGTCACAACAGCCAAAACAACAACATTCAAATACATTAGCGATAGTGGCGACACCATTCACATGACGGTGTAAATCCAAAACCTCGAGCAATGTCAGTGCAATATTCACTTTAAATGGATAGGCGATCGCCTTGAAATGACAGCTCTTGCTTCGTTTTGATTTAATAATATTCATTTCCATTTACGATTTATTACGTGGTAGTAAATTCCAAATTCTAATGCATCCACGCCACTACCACAAACACTTATGGTAGAAAAGCGACAAATTGTGAAAATCAAATAGACACAAAATACTACGTCCCTTATCCAGTCCATTTATAGAGGTCAGTGACACTGTATAAATGTTGCAATATGCAACTCGTGATTTGCACACTTTGGTAGGTTACTACAATTTTGCTTTACAGAAATAAGAAATATATCTATTATTGAATTTAACAATTTAGTGTTTGCTAAGTTCTTAATTTGATTATCGAAGCAACAATAAATAAATGATGCTACCATAAGTTACAGTTCCTTCTAACCAACTTTGAAAACTTGGGCAAGTCAAATTATGTTGTACAAGAAAAATAAATATGATCCTACCACTTACATTGAAATATCAAGTTAACAATTTAAGACAAAGTTTAATTGTAGAACTTTTTTACCAAAGAAGCATTTTTTTAACGTTGGTATCACCAAGCCTGATCATTCATCTGTCAATTTATAACATCTCGCGTATCATTGTCAGAATTCCATTCTTCGTACACGGTTCAGTCACATCTGTAAATAGTGTCAAATTATTGACAATTTATTTGAATTTATGAATGTGCGGGTGATTTTAAATGATCTTTACTAACAAATATAGCCGAATTAAATACAATATTTCCTAAATATTCGTTTCCAATCGTTGTGAAGTTTTGTGTTGTGATAATATTGTGATTTTCTGATCAGCTGATTTGATCGTCCGTTAAAAAATAAAATTGTTTTCGGTAAGTTCAATTTATATTTAAATATTCTGCTTCCAATATATAGTTTACGGTAACCTTTATTAAATGTATTGTAAGGTTTCGCCCTTGTAAACTCCGTTATTTACTTACTATATTCAGATTTTCCTGTGATTTTACCGCGATTGTATTCAACATGTGCCTATAGAACACATTAAGAAGTTTCCGCAACGAAACCTTTTTATTTAAAAGAAAATGCATGCAATTTTATCGTGGTACGAGTACCTACAATCGATTTCTTAAGTTTTCCCTTTGTGATCCTGCGAGGAATTAAGAAAAAAAAAAACAAAACTTACATCGTATTCTTTAAAAAGAAAGCGTTGATATAAATTGTAATTATGTTCTTAATCTTTCTTAATTTTATAGTCCCTACTTTACGTTTTGCACTCAACCTTTGAATATATTATAAGGTAATTATTATAGAAAAGAAGAGGGAAATAACAAAACTCCCAGTTTCTGAGATGTCATTGACATTTGTACAAATTTCTTGAATATTTTATAGTTTTTTTTTTTGTTTAATTACCATCTCGTATCCGTTCACATGATTAAAGTCACATTATTATATATGCTTACGAAATACTAAAGTAATTTTACAAAGGTTTTATTATATTAATATTTTAGGTGCGACTGGGATAGATTTCTAGGAATCCATTTCATTTTCTCATCACAAAGAATACTATTGTTCGCGAATTATAGCAATTTTTTTTATAGAGAATAATGAATTTCCTTGGTTTTATATCTTTATTAGAAAACTCGAATGGCGATATTCTATTTATGAGAAAACTGCCACTTAATTCTTCATGCCACGGAAAGTTTTCGATCTAATTACAATGATGGTCAAATAACATTTCACCTGAATGGGTAGGAAATGAATGTCCTCGACTGTACAGCTCCATACTTAAAAGGAACTTAAGGTGAATAACTTGTGTTGTGACGTGAATACCTGTTTTAATCGACCTGACCACCGTACGCGATTTCACACTACACGACTTGTTTTGTTTATGTCTATTTTTATAAGGGATACCACATAGTAAGGAATCTCTTAAAAACATAAACCAGTATAAAGGGAACCATATTTCGTATTAATATATATTAGAAAAGATGTTAATTGTATTTCTTAAACGTCCAGTAAATTATCATATTGTTAACATTCGTAAGAAACGGGATTCTTACCACGATTAAGTTGTTTGAGATCCCGATATTTCGGCACACTTGCATGCGCCATAATCACTTATTATAGTTAAAACCATGAAAGTTTAAAGTTATAGATTGTTTGTCAAAATCGTTTAATCATGATATCCATCAAACAATTCAAATAAGCGCAAAAGGTCAATTTGGCATAGTTGCACAACTGCACATTAGTCTGTTGCAGACGCTTTTAACGGTCACTCGACAACTTGCGCGCTTTAGTAACAGAAATTTCTGACCTAGATTTTTCTCCAACTTAGATTATGTTAAAGTGTATAGAACTCCAATTTGAAGTCACAAACACCAGGTCTTTTTTTTATGTCATAAGGGGGCAAACGAGCGAGCGGCCAAAATTTTTTCCCTTTCCATGCATCCTCTCATCCGGAAAGTCCACTTCTACCACCCATCCTTTCCTTATAAGAAAAAGGGTGGGAAAGGAAAGTGGACTAAATTAGGCCTCCGGGACGCACACTCATCAAAGTTTTAAGCAGATATTAGGGATTTTTATCCACATGCGACTTCGTTTTCACTATTATTAACATGTTAAAATATGTTTGTAGCGAAAATGTAAAATGACATAATAAACTTCTAAGTTATTCTTGTCGGTTCCTAGTAAAAGACAATAGTATGGCGGTCAATTATCTTACAATTGGCAGCGCATTGTCTTCATTGTGTGTTACGAACTCGTTGAAATATCAAACTACATTATGTGTAAAGACTACTGTTCGTTTTAATAATGTCCTCGCAAATTCTATTTTATTTATCAACTTTGTGGTAAAGTCCGTAGCAGCATTAGTTGCACGCATGAACAGTTATCCCGACGCAATACTACGACAAATAGAAGACGGGCGTAAAGTATAAGTAATAGCGCGTTTCGTCCTAAGAGTGTTTGCTGGAGGCCTAGTGCTATGTCTCTTACCCTTACACAATAGAAGCCAAAAGGTAGCTCTAATCCTGGCCACAAGACATTTTCGGGTTAGAAAAAAAAACACAGGTAAACTTGCAAAACTTCTCGAACGTTTCTTATAAATATATTTATATCTGCGATGTCTGATAGAAACTAAATGAAAGTACAAGATAAACAGAATATAATTACACAAGACCTTGGGGTATTAACAATTATTAACTACAATTAAATAGTTAAATGAGAACATTGAATTGTTATAAACATCGAGTAAATATTTGCCTCTTAAATGACCTTGTGATATGTGATTGACACAACGAGGTTCGTGTTTTATAAGGTAATTATTTTGGAGTACCAATATACTGCTTCTCCTTAAAGTTATTGTAATAAATCAATGTAATTTACATGTAGAATTTATAATTGTGTTTCGAACTCCACTGTCCTAATACTTGTATTAAAACCGTTTGGTTATCTCTATCTTTTTAAAGAGAATAACAGAGATGACAATATGTATTTATAGAAACAAGATTACCGTTAGTAGAAACTACGTTGATTCCTTATTTCGTTTTACAACCTTATACATTTTTTTATATTGTGATAACCAAACTTGATTTATTTTTTCTTTATCCTCATCTTTGGGAAAGATTTTGCGTTTCCACATTTCCATGACTCAAGTATATCTGTCTCTGACGTCATCACCGCAACCATAATAAACAGCGCAACGAAAGTGGAAATGAAAACATTTAATGCATTTATAAAATAAACCGCAACTTTTATGTCTGTACGTACTGGTGATGTTTTAAATCGTTTTGCCGTTTATATGTTGATACGATATATATCATGCGTGCTGCAAAGCGTTTCTATGTAGAACTGGCTGTCGCACACGACCCCTCCACGCGGCATTAAAAAAAAATCGTCTATGTGTTCTTCTAGAATGTCTTCCACATCTATACTAAATTTTACCGAGATTTTTTTAGCCATTCTAGAGATATCACCTAATATACTTTCATCCATACATTCAAACAGTCGCATTTATAATATTAGTACGATTTAATAACAAAAGTGCATAGATCATTGTGATTCATGACACTTTACTCGGTATAATGTGTACATACTGAAAACATTTTTCACAAACTTTCACGTTCTCTGTTCATCTCTTTAGGTGACAATGTTATTGTTACTAACGAAGATTGTACATGTTTGTACCTCGTGCATGTCACTTCTGGCAAGCATCTTATTTGGTGAATCACTCGCCTTTGTTTCGAGTTCTTATATTATACAATGTTGTTCAATATAGATACTGTAGTATTTCCATGTTTCCTGATATTCAATAATTATCACGTAGTCTGTGCTTTATCCTGGGTTATAATAAATAAAAAACCGACAATTTATGTCTGTATTTTTCTTTAATATTTCAAAGATTTACTTGTTTAAATGTTAATAAGAAAGCACTTACAAAATACAAATTGCAGCAAAAACCTTGTCATTCCCGCATCGGCATCACGAATGTACTTGAGCTAAATAAAAAAATCCAAATTTCGCTCACAAGATGGTATCAAACGCTTTTTAAAGCCGATGGAATTTTCCGTAACCTTTTAAATCAGACAAATCAAAGTACGACTGTTCAATTGTCTCCAACATACTGTTGCTATGTAATCGTGTTTCATAAACCATGTACAACGCACTTCCACGGTTAAGTCACAACAAACGTACGTCACTTCTAACATCCTGGTAGTTGGCGAGCTGACGAGCTGCTATCCTATACGATGTTTGCACGACCCCCACCGTCCGTTGTGCGTATGTTATGCTATCGATTACATTTCTCTGAAACACTCGTTTTATCCGCGTGATATCAATGTTTTTACTACAATTTCATCATGAATTTGCCCACATGTTTAGAAGCACATATAGCTACATACATGTTATGCTGTACATGATCTTTTGCTGACGATAGGGTACGGATGTGTGTTACATTGCATCTATCTTGCTAATAGTATAAATGCGAATATTTAGATGGATATATGTTTGTTTGAAGGTATCTCCAGAACGCCTGCACGGATCTGGATGAAATTTGACATACATAGAAAATAGTCTGGAAGAACACATAGAGTACTAATTATTTTTTTGTGATTCCGCGTGGACGGTGTCGAGAGCGACAGCTAGTAGTCTATAATATTGACGGTCCCCATGTAAACTTAGGTAACTGCAACAATCAAATTTCAATTAGGTTTGCTGTTAACCTAACTATAACTCATAAGTTAGTCAAATTTTTCGATTTTTTAAATTCACTATTACTTAAAATAATTTAATAGTTGCGTATAATATATAGAAGTTATTATCATAGCCGGAAGTCCCTGAAATATGTCAATTGGTATCACGTAACATGTCGAAATGTCGTGACGTGTCGTGAGATGAATCACAAATTTATTGAAGCTAGTAGTTTGTTTCCATTGATCGATCGTGTGTGGCCACGAAAATAGCGGCGTGTTATTACCAGGTTAATTGGGCGATGGCCATGACGAACCTACCTTACTGATATGTTAAATATCTTAAATATTCGATACACGGCTTATAAAGTAATCATTAGTATGAATTTATTTTCCGTTCTAGTAATTACCCAAGACATTGGTAGTTATTATTTGAAGCGCACATGAAAAGCAAAAAGAAAGAAGAAAAGCATATGAGCTTCTTTATTTTGGGTAGCGTAGAAGATTATACAATGTGTAAAAAACACATTTTTGTAATGAGACATATTTAACCTAATAATAACCTAAGAAATTTTACAATAATTATATAATATTATAAGATGAAAACGACAAATTGCTTGTTCTATGGCTCCATACTCGTGTACTGGAAGATTGCACAATATAAGAAATAGTTGTGCTTCGTAACA